TTCTTGCGTTTTTTTTTTACTTATCCAGTTGAACTGGAAGGAGATTATATATTATTCATTAAACACATGAATAGAAAAACATATTTATTTTGTGAAGACCCAGATAATAAACACGTAAAATATTTCTGATATACTAGCTATTATTTAGCTTTTACTTTGAAAGGCTTTGAATTAACTTCCTGTTCTGACAGTGCAGGAGACCTCACAGTGCAGGTCTGCAACTAGACCCTTTTGCAAGGTTCTGATGCTGCCGGTTTTAATGACTGCTGGTTCTGGATGACTGTCTTGTTTTATTTGTAATGTTTTTCTGTTGATGAAGCTAATCAGATAGAAGGAGGGAAGCAGCTGGACTGTCTCCCACAGACCAGCAGCCGACCATCCAATGCATAATGGTCCTCCTTGCTGCTGGCTGACACCGAGATGGATGAGAAGGATCGGTGGAAACTCACCTGCTGATGCAGCAGAAAGCCAGGAGACGGAAAAGGTCTGCAAAGTTCAGGTCTGATCCCTCCAGAGAGAAAGCTGCAGGAGACAAACCAACAACCTTTAACAAACAGCAGAAGCTACGGACATGCTCTCTCCTTTCTGGACCCTTCTAGATGGAACTTTGTCCATCAGACCCTCTGTTACTGCATTACCATCATGAAGCTGTATGAGAAGAACAACACCATCTATGACCTTCAATGAGAAGGTGCTCCTAAAAAAAAAAAAAGAGATGTCCTAATCCACAATTGCGTAGGGGGCCAACCAGGTGTCAGTTACCAGGCTCCTGAGCAACTGCAGCCTCTGCTTACCGATAGTTACGCCATTGGTCAGACCACAGATTAACGCACGAGTGTAACCAGGAGTGAGGCAGTCGCTCTGATTGCTGTAAACATTGAAACATTAAGAGGGACAGGAACCTTAGCTGGCTCTCCATGATGGCATCTTCCGCTCTATTCACCCCCTGACTGAATAGTAGCAACAGCCTGCAGACCAGAACATCCAGAACAGAACTTACTGTACTGGTTCTCTCTGATGGGGAAGTCCTTGATGGGCTCTGTGGAGTCTCGGTCCATGCGTACAGAAACCACTTTCCTCTGCAGGCGGCTGGACCTCCTTACCAGGAACGACTGCAGAGAGAAACTAGAGCAGGTCAGAGGTCAGTGAAGCAGGAGGACAGATGGTCATCTTCTCCTTACAGGAGGAACCGAACCCCTACAGCGCTCCTATTTAGTCAGAGAGAGGAAACTGAACCACTTTGGTACTGCAGTCTGCCTCGCCAACATCCAACTGATAGACATGGTTTGATTCCAATCCGTTTTCCTTTCTGTTCTCTAATGGATTTCAAATCCTCCACATCTGCAGCAGAGAGGCGGGAGTTAACCTTTCAGTCAAAGTTATATTTTCACCCTCTTCTGATAAGTAAATAAAAACTAGCACTAACTGTGTGAATCATGAAGAGACTCAGGCGATGTTCAGACGGCAGGATTTTCTATGAAATCTGATTCTTCTCCCTGGTCGTTCACATTTCCCAATATGTGCGACTTGTTCAGTAGCAGCCATTCAAAATGGCCCTTCCTATCAAACGCCAGCAGAATGGCATCCCTCCAACTCCCAGCGAAATCCCCTCCAACTCCCAGCCACTAGAGTGACATCCTCTTGCATATTTTTTTACTCTGACTCTAGCCTTTCACTTACAATAACAGGGTCTGACCAGGAGATGGCGCTTCTCTTTAGATCCTAATCATGGCAGAAAGAATATTTTAGTACAAATATTGATATTTAAAAGGGAAT